CCCCGGCGCGGGCGCGTCCGCGGCCGCGCCGCGGCTCGCGCCGCCGACGCCGCCCGGCGACGAGTCGCGGCGCTGGCGCGACCGCGCGCTCGCGGCCGAGGAGGAGCTCCGCCGCGAGCGGTCCGCGTCGCCGCGGCGCGACGAGGAGCTCCACCGCTGGCGGCGCCGCGCCCTCGAGGCCGAGGAGCGCGCGCGGAGCGACGGCGAGGCCGCGACGCCCCGTCGCCTCGCCGCCGCCGCCGCCGCGCGACGATCTCGGCTCGTCGGCGAACTTCTCCGCGGCGGCGGCGTCCGTGGGCACGCTGTCCACGGCGGACGTCGCCCAGCTCCTCGCCTGCCAGGCGCAGACCCTCGGCGACGAGATCCGCGCGACGATCAAGGAGCTCGTCGGCGGCGGCGCGGCCCCCCGGCTCCTCGCGGCCGCGCCGCCGCTCGCGGCCGCGGCGCCGCCCGGCGCGCCGGGGGCCGCCGGGGGCTCGCCGCCGCGGGGAGCGCCCGAGGCGACGGCGCGCGCGGCGCGCGACGAGTTCGCGGCGCTCATGGAGTCGCAGACGCGCATCGCCGCGTGGAAATCAACCACTGGGTGGTCCCGACGAAACTTCGAACCTCTCCAGCTCGGTCACATCGACGTCGATTTGGGTGATTTTTGGACGAATCCATCGCTCTCCTCGAGGTCTCGAAGCCTAGCCGAAGTGATCGCGTCGAAACGGTCGCGTACGCGCACATTGAAGTCGAGTTGCGGATTTGAATCAGGCGCATCGCGCGGAAGCTCGAGGCGGACCTGGGGCGGCTCCGCCACGACCTCGACGACATCCGCGGCGATGACGGCGGCCACCTCGCCTACCCCGCGCTCCTCGGCGACGCGCCCCGGCCGCGCCACACGTGGCACGGCGACATCGTCCGCCGGCCGCCGCCAAAGACGTACTACGAGCGCGGCGCGGCCTTCTCGGACTGGAAGCCCGCGGCCGGGCCCCGCCTCGGCCGGGGCGCCTACGGCGGCGCCTACGGCGGCGCGCCGGCGCGCCGCGCCTACGTCAGCGTCGGCCCCGAGTTCAACCCGACGAGCCCCGCGCTCCGGGAGTGGTGGGGCAACATCACGAGCGCGGACCGGCCCGTCGTCCTCAACATCTCCACGTCGGACCGGCCCGTCTACTGAGGAGAGCTGGCTTAAGCACGCGAAGCAAATGGGAGGGCGTCGGATCTCAGGCTTGCCGCGCGCGCGGCGTGAGGTACGAGACGACGCGCCGCACGACTTCGCGAGCCCGCTCCTGCCGCTCCGGATGCTCGTCGCGATGGCCGATGACGTTGAGGTAGAAAGACAGGGCGTAGTCTTTCCGCAGGACTCGCACGATGTCTTTTGTGTAGACGAGCGGGACGCCGCGCCGGTCGTGCGTCACCACACAGCGGTCGTCAGTGTATTCGAGGATGAGCTCCGCCATGCTGACGTCGCCATAATAGCAGGCCGAATCCAGCGACGGCAGCTCGCCCTCGGCGCCATGCTCGAGGAGCAGCCGTATGAGGTCGACTTTCCATCGATTTTTGCAGGCCACTGATAGCGGCGTCATCACTCCATCTTCGTCCGACGGAAAATTATCGAGACGATCCCCAGACCACTGGTTAACATCGGCGCCGTAGTCCAAACACAATTTTGCCACGTCGACGTGGCCGTTGATGCACGCGATCAGTAACGGCTCGATCCCTTGTTCTTCTTTGGAGAACTCGCGGTATTCGTCGTTATAAAGTTTCTTTACTTCTTCTTCAATCGAATCCCCATCATCCACATCATCAACATAACTGGCGTAAATCTCACTTTCGTCTTGAAAAGAGTAGTCGCCACGATGAGAATTGAACCAGGTCACAGCGTGGACGTCGGCACCCTGCTCCAGCAGCACTCGCGCCACGTCGACATGCCCTTTTTCACACACGACGAACAGCAGTGTCCTCGAATCATCATCATCCTCCGAATCATCATCATCCTCCGGGTTGATTTCGGCACCGTATTCGACGAACAGCTGCACCATGTCTGCATGACCCCGTTCGCACGCAATCCACATGCACACGTTCAACATTCGGCGGGCGCCGTACTCTAGGAGCTGTCGTGCAGCGTCGACGTGACCAAATTTCGACGTGTAACACAGCAGGTCGTCTTTTTCGGACGTAGGTCCGTTGTCTTTTTCGGACGTAGGTCCGTCGTCGTCGAGCATCTCTTGGAGCTGAGCCGTCCGCCCGTCCCGGCAGGCTTCTTCTAGCATTTCGCGTCGGGCGCGGGCCTCCCGCTCCGCTTCTAGCCTGAGCTCGGCGCGGCGGCGCTTGGCAAAAGGGGTCGCTGAGTTCCTGCGTCCCATCACGCTGCGACAGCGGGCACAAGCCTCGAGCCGCGCGGACCCCGCGCGCCGCGACGAACTCCGACGACGCCGTCTGAGGCACCGAGGCTGGGCGGCGCGCTTGGCTTGACTCGGGACGGGAATGTCTACCTTGCACAGATGTTGCATCTACCTCCGCACCGCCGTCGAGGTACGCGTAGGCCGCCGCGAGGTCCGACGCGTCGTAGTCGCGCCGGCCCGTCACGCACATGCCGCTCGACGCGCGGCGGCTCGTCGTGCAAGGCCTAACAACAATGGTTGCGCTGCGCCTCGGCTTCCTGACGATGCAGGCGCTCGTGCGCCGCAGGCGTCGCGGCGTCGCGCGGTCCGTCTTCGGCGACGCGCGCGCGGAGTACTTCAACGGCGGCGAGGCCAGCATCGCCGCCGTGCTCGGCCCGGCGAGCGCGCGGGGCCTCCAGGTCATTTTCGACTTCGACCGCACGCTCACGGCGTCGAATTCGTCCCAGTGCCACGACGGCCTCCGCCGCGTCGACGACGCGGCGCTCGAGGCCGCGCTCGAGCCCTACTGGCGCTTCGGCGACGCGGGCGGGCCGCCGCCGATCCGCGGGCGGCCCATGCGGAGCTGGTGGGACGACGTGCACGGCCTCCTCGCGACGCACGGGGTGACCATGGCGGCGCTCGAGGCCGCGGACGCGAAGGATCCCGCGGTCCTCCGGCCGGGAGCTGCCGCGGCGCTGCGGGAGCTGCGGCGCCTCGGCGTGCCGACGCTCGTCGTGTCCGCGGGCCTCGAGCACGTCATCCTCGGCGCGCTCGCGAGGGCGGGCTTCGACGACGCGGCGCCCGCGCTCGACGGGGGGGGGCACGAAGGGATCAAAGTCCTCGCGAACCGGCTCATCACGGACGACGACGGCGTCGTCGTCGGGGCCTTCCCCGAGGAGCCCGTGCATAGCGGCAACAAGCGCGACGCCCACGGGAGGCTCCCGGCCTACTTCGCGGCGACGGGCGCCGCGGACGCGCGGCGGCTCCTCGTGCTCGGCGACTCCGTCGGCGACGCGGCCGTCGGGGCCGCGGTGCCCAAGGCCTGCGGCGCCGCCGTGGGCTTCTTCGACCCGGCGAGCCCCTGGGGCACGCGCGCCAGCTTCGAGGCCGCCTACGACGTCCTCCTCCCCGCGGACGGCGGCCTCGGCTGGCTCGCGGAGACGCTCGCCGCGAAGGCGTCCTAAGAGATTTTACTACAGGCCGTCGTCGTCGAAGCAGTGGGCGTCCGGGTCCGCGTCGACGTCCGGGAAGGCGGAGATCGTCGACGGCGTCGCCCAGTCGAGCGCGCCCGCGCCGCCGAGGCGCCGCATCCTGGGCCGGTCCGCGCCGTGGCCCGCGAAGCCGTGGTCGCTGGACGCGCGGACGAGCGCGGGCTTCGGCCGGAGCGCGTCGCAGCCCTCGTTGAGGGCGCGCTCCACGGAGAGGCGCGTGCGGAGCATGGCCATCTTCTGGTACGTGGCCACGCGGCCCTCGCGCGTGTAGCGGCCGATGTTGCCCGGCGTCGGGTTCGAGAACAGGTTCAGGTAGTCGACGGGCGCGAGGCGCGGCGTGATGGTGATCGTGCCCTCGAAGGACTGGGCGAACATCTTGCCGCTCCAGCCCGGCGACGCGTCGATGTCCGCGAGGAACTTTAGTTTGTTGACCATGTCCGTCCGTAGATACAATTCGAGCGCCGCGAGGACGAAGCCGCCGCGCCACGCGTCTTCCGAGCTCAGCGCGCCGAAGGACGGGCTCCAGCGGCAGGGCTCGCCCGCGGCGCCGTGCGTCGAGTAGAGCATGGGCTGGAAGTGGGGGTTCACCTGCGAGGCGACGACGAACTTTGCGTTGAACGCCTCCTTGAGGCCGACGGTGGGGATGTCGTGGACGATGGACCCGTCGATGTAGGCCTCGCCGCCGGCCTGGGGCGCGACGACGCCCGTCTCCGGGTCCTTCTCGAGGAGCACCTGGGGCGCGATGAGCAGAGGGACGGCCGCGGTCGCGACGACGGCGGAGACGATCGTCACGTGCGGCGACGTCAGGTGCGTCAGGAGCACGGGCGGCGCGCGCTTGCCCTTGGCGTGGACCGTGATGGCGAGCTTCTTCTTGGAGCGCGCGTAGGCCTCGGCGAAGGTCATGTTCAAAACGCCCTCGGGCCGGTCGTTCGCGAACCACTTGGCAATGTCCATCCACTCGCCGCCGTCGTAGGCGTGGCCCGTCTTGAGGAACGATTTGACGCACGCCCAGGGCGACCGGTCGAAGCACCGCAGGTAGCGCACGAGCTTCGCGTCGTCGTACAAATCCTCCTCGAGCTCCGCCCGCGTGCGGCAGCACGCGAAGACGGAGATGATGGACCCGGCCGACGTGCCGCAGATCGTCTCCGGGAGCATGTCCTCCGTGAGCAGCGCGCGCACGACGCCGAAGTGGTAGGTGCCGAGCGCGCCGCCGCCGGAGAGGCTCAGCACCGTGCGGCCGTAGGACTCGCGCGCCGCGCCGAGGAGCTCGCGCGCCGTCGACACGCACGCGGCGTCGTTCGACGCCAACGCGTAGGCCGTGAGCCAGCGCACGCTCGCGGCGATCTCCTCCACAAAGTCCGTCACGACCAATTTCGGGTCGCCCGTGTGCGTGGCGGAGAAGAGCTGCGGCGCCATGATGCCCCCGACGTTGGGCCGCGAGCACAGGCGCAGCGCGACGGCGACGGCGCGCCAGTCGTCCGAGGCCCGCGCCTCGCGCAGCTGCGCGATCAAACCCTTGACGAAGGGCCAGTTGTAGCGCGTCGACCGGAGGTCGCTCTGCCAGACGGCGACCCCTTTCGACGAGTCGAGCGCGCGCGCGCAGGCGAGCCAGGTCTCGTAGTCCTTGGAGTGGCGCAGGGCGTGGCGGAGCTCGCGGTGCTTGGGCGTCGCGACGGCGAACTCCGCGAAGGCGACGAAGAGCCGCAGCGCGCAGTAGAACAAGAGTTCGACGAAGACGAACGCGTAGACGACCACGAGGATGGGCCAGCGCAGGATGTGGTAGGTGACGCGGTTGAACCGCGGCCACATGGTGAAGCCCAGCGTCGACGCGACGTAGTAGGCCCGCGGGCTCGCCGCGAGCCACAGATTGCGCGCGACGCCGTAGACGACGGCGTAGTTGCCGAAATACGTGAGCCAGTAGAAGCGGCCGAACTCCGCCGGCAGCAGCTCCTTGTTGATGTAGGCGTTGGACGTCGACGTGCCCGAGCCGGACCGCGACTCGCGGCCCTCGGACGGGGCCTGCGACGCGGCGGACGCGCTCCGCGACCGCAGGCCCGTCGGGCCCGGGGGCACGGCCGACGCCTCGTCGGGCGGCGGGGGGCGGCACATGGGTAGGTGCCGGCGCGCGCAGGCGCTACCGACGAGCTCAGGCGCCGAGGCGACGCGCGTCGCCGGCGTGCGAGGGCTGCGGCGCGCGTCGAGCGTCGCGGCTGTCACTCCAGATCGCGCTTCGGAATACCTTGAAGCGATGATGCATGGACAATGCAGTGCCAGTGGCAAAATCAGTGCGAGTAGGATGCGAGAACCTACCTTCTCATCAGCCCCTCCGAGACGCACGCCTGATGGTTGATACGCCGGCAACGACGGCAGCGCCAAGAGCCGCGTCGGACGACGCCGTCGATGCGGCAACGACGGCCGCGCCACGAGCCGCGTCGGACGACGCTGCGGAGCCGACCGAGCAACCACCCGACGACGCCGTCGGCGCGGCGACGACGGCGCTCGTGGCGCGCGGCGCCGCCTGGAGCGACGGCGACGAAGACGACGACGGCGGCGCCGCGCCGGAGCCGGACGCGCTGTCCATGGCGCACCTGCACCCCGCGCGGCGCGCGTTCCGCGGCGCGACGCTGCCGCTCCGCGTGCCCGGCGCGGCGCTCAAGGCCGCGGTGCGCGCGCTCTTCGCGCCGAAGCGGCCGACGTGGAACGTGGCCCTCGAGGCGTCGGTGACGGCGCTCAAGTCCGCCGCGCGGTCCTACCCGCGCGACATCGAGCTCCTCCGCGTCGCGACGACGGTGAACATCCCCGGCCCGCTCCTGCCGCGGGGCTGCCTCCGCGCGACGGACCGGGCCGGGCCCGTCGCGCTCGAGTGGATCTGGCCCGCGGCGCGGACGCCGGGGCTCGCGCCGACGTGGCGGTCGCTCGACTCGCAGGTCGACGCGGCGTTCCTCGGCTCGGCGGGCTTCCGGTCGCTCGCGGCGGACGCGCCGTGCCTGCTCTTCGCCCACGGCGGCGCCTGGTCCCTCTGCTGCCGGGGCACGCACCGCGACCTCGCGTTCCGCCTCGCGGTCGCCGCGGACTGCCTCGTGGCGCTGCCCGAGTACCGGCGGCCGCCCGACGTCGCGTCGGCCGCCGCGTTAGGCGACGTGCTCGGCGCCTACGGCCGCTGCCTCGCCGCGGGCTGCGCGCCGGAGCGCACGGTGCTCGGCGGCGACTCGGCCGGCGGCGGCCTCGCGCTCGCGGCGCTCTGCGCGCTGCGCGACGGCGGCGGGCCGCCGCCCGCGGGGGGTTTGCTCCAGTCGCCCTGGGTCGACCTCGACGCGGACCTGGCCGGCGTCGACGCGCCCGTCGACTTCCTGCCCCGCGACCTCATCGACCTCTTCGCGGACGCGACGCGCGCCGCGTCCGGGCCGGCCGACGCGACGCACTCGCCGCTCAAAGGCGACCTCCGCGGCCTGCCGCCGGTGCTCGTCCAGTCCGGCGACTGCGAGATTTTGAGGGCCCAGCAGGCGGCCGTCGCGGCCAAGGCGGGCGCGACGCACACGGTCTACCGAGACATGGTCCACGCGTTCCCCATCTTCGCGTTCTGCCACGAGACGCCCGCGCGGTGCGTCGCCGAGGCCGCGGCCTTCGTGCGCGCGGCCGCGGGCGCGCCCCGGCCGCCCCGCGTCGTCCTCCACGCCGTCGCGGCCCGGGGCGCGGCCGCCGCGGCGCCGCGCGCCTGGGACCGCCGCGTCTTCGCCGGCGTCCGCGCCGGCGGCGGCGCCTGGGCCTGGACGGAACCGGGCCGAGCCCGCGGCGGCGACGCCGTCGCCTTCGGCGCGCGGGGCGCGCGCGCGACGGCGTCCGTCGCCGCGGGCGGGCCCGTCGAGGTCTGCGTCGCCCGGGGCTCCGCGATCGTCGCCGCCGCCGCGGCCGTGCCCGCGCCGCTCGCCGAGGACGCGGCGACGCTGACGCTCGCGCTCGGCGGCGGCGTCGAGCTCGACCTCGCGCTCGCCGTCGTCTCCGACGAGGCCTACGCCGTCCCGCCGGGCCTCTCCGTCGACGCGGCGGGCGCGCCGCTCGGCTGCGCGCGGAAGCGGTTCCTCGAGCGCTAGGCGGTCGTAAGCGGTTCCTCGAGCGGCCGCCGGGCCCGCCGCGCTAGGCTCTCGTGCTGGCGTTCGGCCCTCGTGCTCGTGTTTTAAGTCTTCGGCCCCCGCGTCGCGCCGGGGTCCCGCTCGGCGCCCGGCCCCCTAGAGGAGGAGCGTCGTCGGGTTCTCGACGAGGCCCTTGAGCGCGGCGAGCCACTGCGCGCCGACGGCGCCGTCGACGACGCGGTGGTCCGCGGCGAGCGTGCACGTGAGCGTCGGCTTGGCGATCAGGGCGCCGTCGTCGCCGAGGGCGACGTCGTCGCGCACGGCGCCGAGGGCGAGCGCGCAGGCCTGGGGCGTGTGGACGATGGGCGCGGCGGACGCGACGCCGAACGCTCCGAGGTTCTGGATCGTGAACGTGCCCGCGACGTAGGGCTCGTCCGCCCCGGGCGCCGCCGCCGTGAACGCGGCGATGTCGCCGAGGCCCAGCGCGCCGACGTCGACGAGCGCGGGCGCCGCGAGGCCCTCGCCGACGCCCGAGACGACGTTGACGTCGAAGCGCGCGTACTGGCGCACGACGCCCGGCTCGAGCCAGGACGCGTTGACGGCGGGCACGGCCTTGGTCGCCGACGCCGACGCCTTGATCATGAGGTCGTAGAGGCCCACGGGCGCCGCGTCGCCGAGCGACGCGTTGAGCGACTCGAGGAGCTCCAGCGCGGCGCCGACGTCGCAGTCCATGGTGAGGTAGTAGTGGGGCGCCGTCTGCATGGAGTGGGCGAGCTTCGCGGCGATGGCCGCCGACGCCGGGCTCACGGCGTACTCCGCGTAGCCCGCGCCCGCGACGGCCGCGGCCGGCGGCGCCGCCGCGACCTCCGCCGCCGCGGGGGGCTCGAAGAAGCGGACGTCGTCGGCGGTGACGCGGCCGCCGGGGCCCGTGCCGGCGACGAGGCTCAGGTCCACGCCCGCGGCCGCGGCCTCCTTGCGCGCGAGGGGCGACGCGACGACGCGCGCGCCGGCGGCCGCGGGCGCGGCCGCGGGCGGCGCCGCGGCCGCGGGCGCGGGCGCGGCCGCGGGCGGCGCGGCCGCGGGCTCCGGCGCCGGCGCCGGCGCGGGCGGCGCCGCGGCCGCGGCGGCCGGGGCGACGAAGTCGCCGAAGGCGGCCGCGTCGCCCTCGTCCTCGACGACGACCATGACCGGCGCGCCGACGGCGACCTCGGTGCCCGCGGGCACGAGGATCTTGGCGAGCACGCCGTCGTCCTGCGCCTCGAAGTCCACCGTCGCCTTGTCCGTCTCGATCTCCGCGATGACGTCGCCGGCGCCGAAGGCGCCGCCCTCGTCGACCTTCCAGGCCGCGATGGTGCCCTGCTCCATCGTCGGCGACAGCGCCGGCAAGCCGACGACCTCGTGGGCCGGATAGCTCAGGGCCGCGCGCGGCGCGCGCCAGAGCGCGGGCCGCGCGGCCGTCCGCGCGAAGCGTGCGAGCATCGTCTTGTTGCGCACGCTACGTCGCGTCGGCGCGACTGGACGACAGCTGACTACGCTCGCGAGGCCTCGCCGATATTGTGGTTTGCACCTTCCTTTTTCCATGAATTGCCACAAAGGCGCGCGATGGCGCGGCAGACGAGTGAGCATGAGCTCGAGCGGCTCCTCGCCTCTCGCCGCCTTGCGAAATCGACGCCATCGCGACGGCCATCACCGAGAGAGAGCGCGCGCGAGAGACGGCCCTTTCGAGAGCGCCCCCGCGTCCGCTTAGCCCCCGCGCCCCCGACTACCACGTGTGGTCCGGCGCGGCGACGATGGCCCCCTCGGTGCAGAAGTGGCCCGGCGCGCAGGTGCCCGCGGGCGCCTCGAGGCCCGTGTCGTTGCAGAAGTGGCCCGGGAGGCACGGCGTGCACTCGGCCGCCGCCTGGAGCCGCGTGGCGTTCGAGAACGTGCCGTTCGGGCCTGGGCAGGAAAAGAGTGATTCAACGTCGCTTCAACGTGAGTGTTCCGCGCGCACGCGTTACGGAAAACACATCCACGCTTCGAGACCGTTCCGAGAGATGATCGCTCGTCCAAAAATCAGCCGAAACGAGTGGAAAATGGCCGAGATCGGAGCCTTTGGGAATTTCGCTCTCTTTTCCTGCCCTGGTTCGGGCAGGGGAACTGGGTCCCGGCCTCCGTATTCGCGCCGCAGTAGTGGCCCCGGGGGCAGGGCTCGTAGGCCGCGGCGCCGACGCCGCAGAAGAAGCCCGACGGGCAGGCGAGGCACGCCGCCTGGCCGGCGAGGGGCTGGTAGCTGCCCGCGGCGCACGACGCGTTCGACCCCGCGCCGGCCGCGCACGACGACCCGGCGGGGCAGGGGATCGCGACGACGGACCCCGCGGGGCAGTAGGAGCCCGCGGGGCACGCGATCTCGGCCGTCGCCGTCGACGCGTTCGGGCAGAGGAAGCCCGCGGCGCAGGCCGCGCAGTCCGTCGCGTTCGCGGCGCCTTGCGTCGCGAGGGCCGTCCCCGGCGGGCAGGGCACGGGCGACACGGCGCCCCGGGGGCAGTAGTGGCCCGCCGGGCAGGGGCCGGACGACGCGGCGGCGCCGTCGGGCCGGTAGGCCGTCGCGTTGGATTCGCAGAAGAAGCCCGGCGCGCAGAGGCCGACGACGCGCGAGCCGTCGCAGAAGGACCCGCCGGGGCAGGGCCGGTCCCAGGTGCTGCCCGCGGGGCACGCGCTCCCGGGGCCGCACTTGCCGCCCGTGCCCGTCGCGAAGGACGGCGCCGGCGACGTCGCCCTGCCGACGCAGAACCAGCCCGCGTCGCACTTGCCCGCGAGGCCCGCGGCGCCGGCGCCCGCGGCCCAGAAGCCCGGCGGCACGTCGACGCAGTCGCTCGGCGCCTGGGCCGCGGAGACGTTGCTGAAGGTGCCCGCGGGGCACGGGTGCGCCGTCGCCGCCGTCGAGGACGCGGGGCAGTAGTGGCCGGCCGGGCAGGGGTAGTCGTGGTAGTCGGCCGTCGCGTTCCCGCAGTAGAAGCCCGCCGGGCACGCGTCGCACCGCGCGGCGCCCTCGGCCGCGGCGTAGGTCCCCGCGTCGCAGGGCGCGGGCGCGCCGGCGCCGAGCGGGCACGCGGCCGCCGCGGGGCAGAGCGCGGCGCGCGGCGACGTCGCGCCGGCCTCGCAGTAGTATCCCGGCTCGCAGAGGCCCGCGGGCGCCGCGAGGCCCACGGCGTCGCAGTAGGACCCGGCCGTGCAGGCGCCGCAGGCGCCGGGCGACGTCTCGCCGGCGTCGGGCGAGAAGGTGCCGACGGGGCACGGCGTCGCGTGCGCCGAGCCGGCGCGGCAGTAGCCGCCCGCGGCGCACGGCGCCGCGGCGAGGCCGCCCGCGCGCGCGGTGCCGTTCGCGTGGACCGAGCCGATCTCGCAGACGAAGCCCGCGTCGCAGGGCGGGCCCGGCGCGACGAGGCCCGGCTCCGGGCAGTGGCGGCCCTCGGGGCAGGGCGCGCAGTCGGCCGCGCGCGCGAGGTTCGTCGCGTGGCCGTAGCGGCCCTTCGGGCAGGGCTCCGGCGTCGCGCCCGTGCCCGCCGGGCAGAAGCCGCCCCGGGGGCAGTCGGCGTAGTGCGTCGTGTTCGTCCCGTTGCACATGCGGCCCGCGGGGCACGCGAGGCACGCGTCGAGGCCCACCGTGGGCCCGTAGGTGCCCGCGGCGCACGCGGCGGGCTCGGACGTGCCGTTGGCGCAGGAGGACCCGGCGGGGCAGAGGCCGTAGTCGCCCGCGCAGGCGTCGTCGAGGCAGAGGGGCGTCGTCGACGGCGCGCCCTCGTTCGCGTTGCGGCAGAAGTAGCCGCCCGCGCAAACCTGTGTGGAAATCAATGAGCTGGGTTATCCCAACCAAACTTCAGAATTCTCTAGCTCGGTCACATCGAAGTCGATTCGGCTGATTTTTGGACGAATCGATGGCTCTCGTCGAGTTCTCGAAGCACAGCTGAAGAGCTTGCGTCAAAACTGTCGCATATGCGCACATTGAAGTCGGGTTGAAGATTTGAATTCCACGCAGGCGCAGACCGCGTTCGGCGCCTCCAGGCCCGTCGTGTCGCAGGCCGCGCCGGGCGAGCACGTGTCGCAGTCGCCCGTGAGGAGCGTGCCGCCGTAGAAGGTGCCGATGGGGCAGGGCTCCGGGTAGCCGCTGCCCCGGAGGCAGAAGTGGCCCGCGGGGCAGCCGCCGCCGTCGTCGCCGCAGTCCTTGAGGTAGCCGATTGACGTCGCGTTGCCGTCGTAGGTGACGTTCGAGTCCGTCGCCGGGTCGTAGGACGCGACGTAGACGTCGAGGTCGATGCAGTAGGCGCCCTGGCTGTCGAAGGCGCCGCTGGAGCAGTAGTATCCCGCGTCGCACTTGGCCGTCGGCGCCGAGAGGCCGTCGCTCCCGTCGTCCTTGGGCCCGCAGTAGTATCCCGCGTCGCAGAGCGAGCACTCCGTGACGTCGACGAGGAGCTCCTGGGCGCCGTAGGTGCCGAAGGGGCAGGGGTAGAGCCTACCAAGCACGACGGTGACGATTGTCCATCGGTTTCCCGGTCAAAAACTCTCGAAAATCGTCGCGGCCGCGGGACGCTGGGTCGCGCAGGTAGCTCGCCGTGCCCGCGGGGCAGTAGTAGCCGACCTCGCAGGGGAGGTACGTCGTCGACCCGTAGCCGTCCGCGTAGTAGCCCGCGGGCGTGTCGACGCACGTCGCCTGGGCCCGGTAGGGCTGGTAGGTCCCCGGCTCGCAGTCCGTGCACTCCGCCGCGCCGTAGCCGCTGTACTTGCCCGCGGCGCACTCGTGCTGCGTCGGCGTGATGCTCGCGCTCTCGCAGTAATAGCCCGGGTAGCACGGGCCCGTCGGGTACGGGTTGTTGCTGCCGCTGCCTGTGTGCAAATCAACCGGTGAGCTGGGACGTCGGGGCCCCAACTTCAGAGCTCTCGAGCTCGGTCACATCGACGTCGATTCGGCCGACTTTTGGATGAATCGATTGCTCTCGTCGAGTTCTCGACGGAGAGCACAAAGAGCCCATGACAAAATTGTCGAATAAGCGCACATTGAAGTCGGATGAAGATCTGAAATCCACACAGGCCGCTGCAGTAATAGCCAGCGAGGCAGTTGTCGCACTCGTCCTCGGACGTCGCGCCGCTCTCGTTGTTGTACGTGCCCGCGGGGCACGGGTTCGGGTAGCTCGACGCGAGGGGGCAGTAGCCGCCTGCGCCGGTTCGCGACGTCCCGACCGAACCTCGAAACTCTCGGTCGCATCGATGTGGCTCCATGATTCGACGAGTGCGTTCCCCTCGTCGAGATCACGACGAGTTTGCGTCAAGGCCGTCAAATACGCTCACAGATTTGATTCGCACGACGAGTTCGCGTCAAGGCCGCCAAATACGCTCACACTCAAGTCGGTTTGAAGATTTGATTCGCGCGGGTAGCCGCCCGCGGGGCAGCGGCCGCCGATCGTGCTCGGCTCGTCGACCGTCGGCGCGCCCGGCGCCTGCGCGGGTTCGCGATGTGTGTGAACGGTGTCGACACGCATCACTCGCGATGTGTGTGAACGGTGTCGACACGCATCACTCGCTCGAGCACTCGGACGAGGGACGACCGTTCGTCCAACGACGACCCAAAACGGCATCGATCCCGACGAGCTCGAGACGTTCGAAGTCGCCCCCCCCCCGACCGCCGGATGCCGCGCGGCTCGGCGCGTGGGGCGCGCTCGTGTAGCTGGACTCGATGCAGTAGTAGCCAGGGTCGCCTGCGAGGGCGCGTCGGTCATAGGTCCGTAGGCTCCGGACA